CCACTTTCATCAATATAAATTGGGTATAAGTTATTCTAAATCAAAAAAATATAAAAAGACAAAAATAAAATACAATGAATTTTGCTTTTTGTTAATTTATGAAATATTTACATATATCAATTGATTTGATTCAAAATTATCTGTTCCTCTTAAATCTCATTTTAGTTAATTTATTCAATCTATTATTTCAAAGTGTTAATATATTTGATTTTTTATTCTTTTTTTCTTTTTTGTTTTTCTATCTTCTCTTTTAACTTATAATCTTTATACAATTTAGCTTGACTTTTTGATCGTTTAAAAAATCTCCCTTATGATTTTCGATGAAGTGAAGTGTTAAATTCTTACAGCATTCTAAATTATTTTTAGATTTTTACTTTAGTTCTTGTTAAGTTACAATAGACATACTTTCAGGAATGTTGTGTCTAAATAAATCATGATTAACTCTTAAGGTGTGAAACAAATTAATCATCCATTATTTATCAGGTAAATGATTTTCATCAAATCCCCTAGGTTTTGAAACATTAATTTCCTACATCAACATCCATAAATCAAGCTTCTATACTTGCTTTAGCAGTTGACCTATTTTGATATCCGATGAGGCGATTAGAAATACTTTGTTTGTCATAATTTTAAATAGATATTCTGTCGTAATTGCTGCACATTATCTTTTTGGAATATAAAACCCTTTAATGATTAATGAATAATAAGCTGAATCTAATGATCCTACTGCAGCATTTGCTTAATAGATTGAAATAGCCATTTCTCACCTTAATTAAAAATTTATTTCTAATTATTTTTCTCGAATTCAGAATTTTTATTTTGAATTCAAAATTTATATCTTGAATTAACAAATAAATATAGCTAATCAAATTTTAATGCTTTTTTATAATACATTCAAGTTTAAAAAATTATGTATTAAACAAATTTTTTTTCAAATTAATTTTTTATTTTTGGTTATTTAATTAATTAAAATCATAAGTCATTTTATTATTCCTTTTAAAATTGATTATAAATGTTACATTTTTTAAAATTATTTATCGTGAATTTAATCTGTGTAGTTTGTAGATTTGTTATTATTTTTCATCATTTTTTTATTTATTACCATGAAGATAGCTCTTTAGTATACATTGAAATCCTTTTATTGAAGTCATAATGTGTTGATTTAAATTATGTATTTATAATTTTATAAAATTCTACTCATAAATCATTCCTTTATAAGCATTCCATTAGTTTTACAAACACCTTAGAACAATATTTCTCAATTCTATTATTATTGATAATCTTTATGCTTTTGTGAATTTCATTATTAACAGCAATCATTGTTCTGCAATCATTGTTCTGCAATCTTATGAAAAAAGATGGCTTTTTATGTCTCTCCAAACTTTTTCAATAGGATTAAGTTATGGGCAATAAGGAGGAAGATAAAGATGATTGATTTAGTTGATTATATGCTATTTTAGAAATTATTCCTTATGAATAGATGCATTATCTAAAATCAAAAAATACAAACCTCTACCAAATTTTTCATTACACAATTAAATTAAACGTGGAAGAAAGTTGTTCATAATATGAGCGTCGACATTTTTTCTTATACATTGAAAAAGAAACAATCCTTGTCCAATAGCACCAATTATATTTATCCTTTTGGTAATTGTAATAAAATTTGAATGGAGTTTTTATCCAACTTAGCTCCATACCTTTTACGGATAATCATTCCCAAATCCTAGGAATTCCTCTTAACCTTTCAATATCATGATTTGAAATATACAAAATTGTAAGAGCTCTATAAATTTGGGATAAACAAAAAGTAATGTAGCGATTTTGTAAAACATCCAAATAGTAAAACAACTAAAATGTATTTTTCAAATTAAGAAAATTATGAATTTGCCGATTTAAGCATGCCAGAATAGATCTATAATATAAATTCAAAATATTAATCACCAATCATCAAATAGAATTTTTGAGAATTTAATGATTTGTTTTGATATGAATTAAATTATTGTATATCATGAAATTGAAAGTTTTAAAGTAATACCAACCCAAATTTTAATTCAAAATTTTCCTAAACCTGAACCTGTACTACTATGGCTTATCAGAATTCTTATCAATACATTTCAATAATCGTCAAAACTCTTTTTTTTAAAGCTTGTCTTAAAAATGGAAAAATGCTTGAAAAATGTTCTTTTAATTTATTTTTCTGGAACTTGATTAAAAACTTATGTATCTCTTAATGTACTCTGGTTAATTAAGGCTATTTATGTAAATATGATTTTAACCAGTTCCAAATTTTTCTATTGGATTAAAATGGAGTGTTGTAAGGTGGTAAGAATTTATGCGGTATTACCTTTATTATCTTTTACACTACCTTACTATGATGAGCCTTAGAATTATCTAATATAAATATCACATCTTTTCCCTGATAATGGTTGCTTATGTTTTATAAAGATCAATTAAGTGTTGGGCATAGACTTCTCTATTCACATCGCCAGTCAACACTTAGTAAGCCAAATAGCCATCTTGACTAATTGCACCTAATATACCAACTGATTTTGTTGACTATGAATAAATTATATCTTTTAGAGAATCACGTTTTTCAAAATTTTTGGTGTTTTTATATTGTGTCCAATACTAGTTTCATCAAGAAAAATATATTTTGCTTCTCTTTGGATCTAGGTCATAAAGAATAGAGCATAATTTGGTGTAGTATTTTAATATTTTGCGAAATTTAGATATTGATAATGCACTCTCATCTAACAAAAGTTGTTTGATAAATTATTAGTATATATTTTTTAGATTCATAAACTATTCATAAATGTTTTCTTTCATTTAAATTTTTAAACCAATTAATTTGCTATTTGAAAACATTTAAGTAAGATTTCGTTAATTATTCTTCATCTTTGTTTGCATTCAAATATTAAACTTGACACGAAGCAGACCTTAAATATCCTGATATTGTTTTATTAGTAAATTATTATTTTTTCATTTTTCTGATTACATTCTTTAATCATTCAAATGATCTAAGTGTCAACACTTTAAATGGTAATATATTTCGAGCAACTCGAATTTTCTTTTTATCTACTTCTTTTAATTATTTCAACTGCTATTTGAAAGCAGGTTTCTTACTCTAAATTTTCTTCAAATTCCATATATTTTGCCAACAAACGCAATTTACCAAGCTTGAATTGACAAAATTCTTAGCATTTTTAGGTACAAATGATGTCTAAAGTTTAATGATTATAGTATTGGAACTTTTTTCTTTTCCCTTATAGCTTTTATAATGATAACTTTATTGAAGTTAGCTAATAATTTTAGATATTCATTTTTTTAAATTGATTCAATTAAAATAATTAATGTTTGATCTCATAAGGGCTTAAGAATAAATTACTATGTGTAGCTTTAAGGCAATTGTTTTGCAAATACCTTTAATTATAATTGATATACTAATTAATACCGATAAACTGAAATAAGTTTTGTGGTTTAAAAAAATAAAATTAATTTGAGAAAATAAAATTCAAAATAAACATGTAATTTATATTGGCTGTTTTAAAATATTATTGTTTCAATATATATTGTTTGATTAATAAATATAAATTTAAAGTTGAAAAAAACCTTTCTCAAATGGATTAAACTTAGAGAACATAAAATTTTACTAAGTTATTACTATTTTATATTAACTCGTCATTATTATTATAATATGATAATTTTATGCAGTTAATTATATTTTTAGAATCACATAAGCGTTCAAGAAGCCAACTTGACTGTCGGAAGTTTAGAATCAATATATTATGCTCTGTCTTTAAAATAAATATACCTTTCAAATTTTAACTCTAATTTAATTACTTGTGAGTATTTACTCAAAGTAGCCTTGAATAGGTGCTTTAGAATATTTTAACCAGAAGTTAAAATTGGAATTTTGTTAAAGAAATGCACCAAAATCTAACTTTATGATATTCTACATAATCTTGCCGAAGAAAGGAAAATCAATTTAGGATTTTATCCTTCAAATTTACCAAATAATTAGTGATTAATTAATATATTATCTACTTATACAATCAAATATTTTCTAAGTTTAAGACGAAGACACTGTTTTAGCATTAACATAAGATGACTTAAAGTATAAAGTTTATAGGTTATTTTCAGCATTTAAAAAACTCTAGATTCATCTTATTGGAGAAAATCATCTATGAAATTGTTTTAAAGATTTCATGAATGGGTTATTGAAAAAAATATAGCAAATATAAAAAAAAACAAATTAAATAACTTTTAATGCTAGTTGAAAAGAAGGAATAAGAGGGAGAGTAGCTAGAATAGAAGATTAAAACATATTAATTTAAGATTGAATGACTCCGATAGAATCAAAAGTTTGAAGTTCCTCAATAACAATTACAAAAATATGTTTTCTGGGAACAGCAAAAACATTGATGAGCTTAATAAATAAAAAATATGAAAATTAATTATTAATATCAACTTGTTCTTTCTATGTCTGTTTGTAAAACTATTTTTTATTATATATACAAAAAGTAATAAAATCTTCATACCCAAAAAATATTGATTGAATTATATTTTGTTATCCAAGAATAAAAAAAGAACAATTCTTTCAGTGGCAAAAATTCTAAGCCTTCAAACATTTGTATTGGGGCACTAAATAAATTTAAATGCATCTTCTTCTCATAATGTGGTCGTTAAATGTGTAAGGTAAATATAAGAGTCAGAAATAAAAAACAAAAATTCACAAGCATATTTTTAATTATATTTTTTCATTGGAAAGCAAATCAATTAAGTGCCCTGAGTATTTTAAAGGTATTAAGATTAGAGAATATAAAAAGAATTAAATAATAGAATTAATAGAAAGATTTCATTATTGATTTTTTAGTGTAAAATTGCTTTATAACATTTTTTTTAAACAAGGTTTATGAAATATAACAAACTAATACTATTTATTTATAATTTTGTATAATTATTGATTATCAACCTAAATAGACAATCTTTAAAATCTAAAGCATATATTGATGCACTCAGTGGGGAAAATTGTGAAGTAAAAATTTTGTTTGTAATAATTACAATAAATTTCAAATGATTCCTCCAAATCTCATTATTTTTATCATTGTATAAGATTATTATAATAT